GTAGCGTTCAGAAAAAGTCAAGGCTAAGAAAGATTTTGGGGCTAGATTCTGGTGTCAAGTCTAGTTCAAGAGTGAGTCCTAGAGAATAAGGTGAACACATGGGGCACTAAGTCAGGCCACACAACTACCACTATTACGGTTCTGGTCCCTTTTTCCTGGTTGAATGGATTTCACCAGGGAGGCTAAGATATTGCACAATATTTTGCTCTGCTAGACCCGGCTCTAGTAATTTTCTTAGACTCACCTCACAGTGGTCATGCTCTAACTCCGCCCCTGGCCTACAAATTCATCAACATAGCATATTTTGAACACGGAATTTCATCTTTTTAACGGTGTATGATCTTTTTGCCATGTTTTCATCGAATATGCTTACATTTTAATTTTGTAGGATGTCAACTTGCTGGTGGGATCACAAAAGGAGAGATGTGATGTGAAAGTCGCATTGTCGAATTCATTTGGATTCGGTGGGCACAATTCATCAATTTTATTTGCGCCCTTTTGAGCTCTGTTGGTGTGGTAGCTTATGGTACGATTGTGTCGAGGAACTGGAATTTTCACAAAGCTCAGCAAGACAGCAACATTTCACAAGCCACAAATTTGTAATGGGAATCCAACTCAGTAGAATATATTGCTACATAGGTGAGCAAAGAAAGCAATTAAGTTTCTTTTGTATTGCAAAAGCAAATATATCCCATGCAAGGGTGTCCATTCAGAAGTTAATCAAGACGTTGCACATGCACTTTGGTCCATCCAATTTTTGTACCAGATGTTATTTGATTCGTCCTATGGGACTTTACTGGGCCCGGTATGTTTTCATCTCGCTGTTTTACCAGGCAGAGAATGCTTGCTGACGTAAAGCTGACTTTGTGGTGAACTGTTTTTTGTCCAAAGGGCTGCAAATTGCTGCTGTATCTTGATGTGTTAATTACTGTAATAAGCAGCCACAGTAGCTGTTTTAATTTTTAATCCGGCGTCAGTTTCTAATAAGAAAATAAAACGGGAATACATAATCGTGCGCGCGCTCACTAAGCGTCTTGAGCGGCCGGCCACGGCCCGCTCGATCCACTTGTATCGCACGGCCCGCGTTGCCACCTGGTCGGTCTTGCCTCCGCCCACATCTCCCGCACACCTGGCTCGGTTGAGTTGAGGCGTGCGGCGCACATAACTCTGGTGGGTCCATCATGTCAGACTGTGTAGGTGCGGGTGGTAGAAATTTCGTGCCACTCTCCAAGGGAAATGATTCTAATCAGCCGGCAGATGTAGCACGGGCCTTCTGTCGCCTTCTTTGCTTGACACGTGTCCTGCTTGACCACGCACGTCTCTCTTCCTCATCTTTTTTGCAATAACTATTGCAGAACAGTGGCCAGCGAACGATGACTGCACCAGTGCGTGACGCAGCTGAAGATGTGTTGCACTTTTCGCAACACGCGCCTTGTTGCAGAAAATTAGGTGTGACGGAGATGTTGCAATTTTGGCAACAAAAGTCTTGTTGCAGAAAAATAAGGAAGAAGAGATTGTGCAGCATTATGGGTATTGCTGCAGGAGATTAGAGAAGAAAAGGTTTTGAATCAAGGGTTTTGTTGCAGAAAATTAGAGAATAGAACGTTTTGCAACTAAGGCCTTGTTGCAAAAAGAACAATGATTAGAATCACCCGACTGATCACGACTATAATTGCGCCACACGTGCAACCGTCAGATACAAGTTTAATCGGACGACATGCAACCTCTATCAGCCGCCCAAGACCTATATCACTGGACGCGTGCCTCTGTCATTTTTCTGCAACATCATCTGGGTTGCAAAAAGTCATCCTGCAACAACGTCTATGTTACAAAAGCATTAAGATGAGAAAAAAAATTCTACATCATCATCTGTGTTGCACAAGTCCGTTCGAAGGCCACACATGTTTCAAAAAAGTTAATGCGAAAAAAGTCTACAACAAAATCTTTGTTGCAGAAGTTTCCGCAACAAGAGATATGTGCAAACGGTTCTGCAACACTGTCTTTGTTGCAATTGTGAGGAAAGAGTCGGGCCGATGGATGCGCCGGATCAAACGACTGTGAAGGTGGCGGATCTTTGAAAATAATCCGCCGGCGGACGCGTAGGGTCGCCCACAAACGCCTTCCATTTCTCTCGTATCTTCGCCACATCTCCTCTCCTCATCGGGTCCCGTGCATCGCATCCATCGTTGAAGCTTGCACAGGAGGCGGAGGGCATAGTGGGGAGGCATCCGCTGCTCGTCGCTGGCTCAGGTATGGTCGTCGTTCACCGTCTCTAACCGCTCATCCCCTCGTTCGTTCTCCCCGTGCCCGTATCGTTCTCGCCGTGGCCGTAGCGGGGAGGCATCCGCTGCTCGTCGCTGGCTCAGGTATGGCCGTCTCAAGCCGCTCATTCGCTCGCTCGTTCTTCCCGCACTCGTACTGTTCCCGTCGCGTCTGTAGCGGGGAGGCCACGGCCGTAGTGTTCTCGTCGCGCCCGTAGCGGGGAGGCCGTGCTCGTGATGTTGTAGTGATTTTTGGGGCATGCACCCCGGTGATGTTGATGTGGTGCCCTGACTTAATCGTGCACTAATCATACACGCAAATGCGTACGATCAAGATCAGAGACTCACGGGAAGATATCACAACACAACTCTAAACACATATTAAAGTCATACAAGCTTTATATTACAAGTCAGGGGTCTCAATGGCTTGAATACATAAGCTCGAATGCAAACGAGTCAGCGAAGCAACAATATTTGAGTACAGATATAAGGTAAACAAGTCTGCCTTAACAAGGCTAGCACAAACGATAACAACGATCGAAAAGGCAAGGCCTCCTATCCGGGAGCCTCCTAACTGCTCCTGGTCGTCGGCGGCCTCCACATAGCAGTAGGCACCCTCGGGGTAGTAGTAGTCGGTGGTGGCATCTGCTTCCTGGGATTCGTCATCTGATCGCATCAATCGAGTCTAGGGGAAAAGAAGTAGCAAAAACAACCGTGAGTACTCATCTAAAGTACTCGCAAGATTTACATCAGAACTATACTCAGTATGCATCAGTATCAAAGGAATGGGGCTATATCTTTGGACTGAACTGCAGAAATGACAGAAGTGAAGGGAAAGCCTAGCCTATTGAAGACTAGCATCTTGAAGCATCTTGCAGCATTAGAAGAGTGCAGATTAGCATAATATAAGTAGCAAGTATGTTGTAGTAACGCCTAGAGATCCTTTCTCGTCTCCCTAAGAGAAAGCAACCCCGGAGCCATCATATCCATTTCACATCTCCAATATCTAGTTCTAGTTCTATAGACCGGGATACAACTCTGAGCGTTCGTTACCGTGGACACAGCTATTTGAATAGATTAACTTCCCTGTAGGGGTGCACAAACTTACCCAACACGCTCGATTAACTCCGACCGAACACACTTTCCTGGGTCATGCCCGGCTTGGGCTGATCAACACACCGTAGTCCTACGTAGGCTCAACAGAGAGGCCAACATGCTGGTTTACATCCTAAGCGCTCAGGGGTCTTGGGCCCATCGCCCTTTGCACTCCTGAGCATTGCGTGGGCGGCTGAGATCAGTCCTGGCTACCTCTTTATGCAAAGCAAGTGCTTATGTGGACCACCCAGGCGCGTGCCGCTCCGCTGACGTCCAAAGAGCTTTTGAAGGATCGTATGACACAGAGTGCCCATACTTATTCCCGCGTGGTGGTCAGTGCGAAAGGCCAGAGGCCTACTTGAATCACATATCCAAACCGTTAGTGTCTTGGGAGCGCGCGGAGACGATCAATAATCCATGATCTGTGGTCCCATCGTCCCGTCTCACGGACTTACGACAAGGGCTAAGAATGCCTGGCCGTGCCGCATAATTAACTCGCGGGTATCCTCCAGATCAACCCGACTCCACATCACTCGCGCGTACCCTCACAGTCAACCGGACTTAACATTTCTCTCGCGGGCACCCCTCGGGGCCGACCCGACTCCAATATGGTTCTGGGGTAAAGTCAAAGTAACCGTGTGTGTGTCCAAAACAGGAAGGGGGGAACCCGAGAAATCACCCTTGATGGATTCCCACTCGATGTAACCGTTAAGGTGAACTTGGAGGAATCACCCTCGAGGTTCACACTTGAGGTGTTGCACGACAGAGTCGTTATCGTGAATGGTGAAGGAGGAATCACCCTCCATAGACCACGACCGATTAGCTACACTACAGAGTTATCATCAGGAGTGCGTTACGAGGTATCACCCTCGGCACTCGATAGTAGCTCTGCAGTCGTATAACTAAGGGGGTGTGAGGCAATGTGTCGGGATCTGGACGTCGATCACGTTGGTCGAGTCATCGGTAATAAAGCGGGGGCAACAGGGACAAGGTGAGGGGTCACTGGTCGATCACTAGCTAGCCTACTAATGCGCTCCTCGTAGTTTTAGTTGTGATACAAGATCCGAAGTGGCAGTTTTTTGAATAAAAATGCCTACCTCTGAAGAAACTGACAAGCTGCTCTGAAGAAAATGCCATGCGAATCTGAGGAAACTGCCAGCAAAAACGTTCACAAATGCCTTATCTCCCAGCGAACGTTCATTAGCTAATGCGATCCTACACGTACACCATCCGACCTACTCGATCCTACATGTACACTATCCGACCTACTCGATCCTACACGAATAAATAGAGGATCACACACGTACTACCTCCTTTTTGGTTTGCAGGGCTTAATTCAAAAATCTCACCAACCAAGGTAGATGATGAGTAGTGGAATCATTTTTGACAAGGAGGGAGTACCTCACCTGGATGATTCGAGTGCACTCGTTTGACCGTCATGCCGACGTGTGACCCAACATGGACGGGACGCACCACTGACGGGACGGGACGACACCGTCATAATTTTAGTTTTTCTAGTTTTCCATGGCAAGCTGACGCGCTAAGCCTTGCCTGCTTATGCATTGAATTCCGATGACCACGACGACTGTCGCGTTTCCCGCGACACGCTGGTTCGCCTACCTTCTGCTTATAATTACTGTTTCCCGGCCTTCTCCGGTGGCACCATCACCCAACTCGCCCTATCCTCATAAGCCCCCACCGGCCCGATGCCGCTCGCCACTTATCCTCGCTCTCGCCATGTCCGCCATGTCCCCGCCCATCCGTGATAGGCGACGCCGGAGGTGGTCACCACCGGAACTAGTGTTCGGTTTTTCACCGGAAGGCAGACGGAGGGAGGAAGCATTCTATCGGTCTTTAGATGGCAATGCGGAGTATGAGGAGTTGTTGGAGCGCGACCGCCTGGTGGAGGAGCAGCGTATCGCCGATTTGCGCCGTAAGAGGGACATGGAGTAGCAGCGCACCGACGCTTCGAGTCGCGAGCAAAGCGCCCGCAACTGGGCCGACTACGTGGAGGTCGGCACCCGACAAATAGCCTCGAAGGCTGTCGGCACGCACGCGTTTGCGACGCCGAATTTTACTAGCAGCTCGTCAAGTGGGTTTCCCGCTTAGAAGCCAAAACTTCAGTGGACCACGCCGGCATGGAAAG